TTGGGGGTTGGGAGCTGCATTTATCACCACTGTGTTGACATTTCTAATAGCATTTTTTCCTGGTGGTGTGTGTGTGTGTGTGTGTGTGTGTGTGTGTGTGTTGTGTGTGTGTGTGTGTGTGTGTGTGTGTGTGTGTGTGTGTGTGTGTGTGTGTGTGTGTGTGTGTATGCATGCGTGTGTGTGCGTGTGTTCAAAATGCCATCACGTTTTTATGTATTTTAAATTCATTTATCTCCTTTAACCAGAAATAATGTGAAACAAATTTGCTTCAGAAGCCACCTAATTTATAAATGTACCGCTTTTATAAACATAATTCAGAAATGGAAAACTGTTGTTTATTGATGCTGATGATAAATTTGAATTACCTTAAATGTTTTAACATGTCATGCTTCTTTATGTGAAGCAAACTAAATGATTAAACTTGTCATTTTATACACACTTAATAAATTCAGTTAAAAAAACTCAATAAATTAAGTTGTATAAACTCAACTGAACTACTTGTTACCAATTGATTCTATTCTATTCTATTCTATTCTATTCTATTCTATTCTATTCTATTCTATTCTATTCTATTCTCTGTTGGCTCCAGCTGTCAGATTTCATTTTCACAGACTTGCTGATGTGAACTGGTAATAAAAGAGGATTAATTTACAAGCAGGAAGAATCCCCCAGTGAGACTCGAGGCCCACAACAATAATGAGCGCACGGCAATCAGTTTTACTGGGAGCCAAAAGACGATGCAGAGAATCTAATCTAGACTCTGAACTGTTTCCTCTCTTTTTTTAAAAAGACGCCCGGCTCGTCTTTTCCTCCGTCTCTCCCATGCAGGGGGAGAAAACGACGACAAACTATCATCCTCGGGCCTCTGCAACAACATATGTTTGCAGGTAATTAAAAGGAGTTTCCAGGCGGTTATGGTGCCATATTGAAAGACAATGCACTGAGCAAATTACCTTTTTGTGGATATTTATACAAAGCTGGGTGGGGGAGGTCACGATGCTTTGGCGAACTGGTCGAGCAGTAGATGAGGATCAGTCTAATTGCTGCGCTACGGTCAAATCCCTGATATACGTGGTAGTGTGCAGACCGTGTACATCACTATGATCCAGTAGCTTAACAAGTTCATGTAAATTAATCTATTAAATGAGTGTAAAAGAAAGTGCAGAAGTGATTGCGAGCTGTATCTCTGGAGTTGGGAAGTAATTTCTGGAGTGGAGAACAAATTTTGTGATTGCTGTTTTTGGTGAAATCTCCATCGGCATTCAAAGCAGCTTCGCCTGTTTGTCTTCAACGCACCTGCAAATTCTTCGATTTGTCAGCTTAAATCTGCATCACTGACTTCCAACTCAGAGAACACATCACACTGTAAATGGTTAGAATATCTAATTTCACCAAGTGCATTGGAAAAGTCTTTAAACCGCTTTAAATTTCACATTATAAAACTTTTTCTTTATTTTACATTTTAGACCAGCGGTATCAAACTAATTTTTGTTTTGGGCCAAATCAAGCTCAGGAATGCTCTTAAAGGGCCGGTATCTACTGATAAAACCTTTTCACAAACTGATACAAAATAATAATGAATTCTTAATCTTGAATAAAATTATTGAACATCTTTTCAGAACCTCCAGGATTTTGTGTTTGCAGAAGTAATTTTGAAACATTTGCACTTATTTTTTATGGTAAATGCAACTCTTTATTACTTTCAGTATAGATTATGGGTTGTAATTTGGCATCAATTAAGGCTGAGGCAGATGTTTAGTACAAATAAAAGAGTTTTTGACAATTCTGCCATAAATTCCCAAATATTAGTGCAATAAAAAGAGCAATATTAGTGCAATACAAGCAGGTCTAAGCACACTTAGTCTAGATATAGAGGGGAAAAAAAGCTATGGCAGACCGGATTTGGCCCACGGGCCTCAAGTTTTGACACATGTTTTAGAAATAAGCCCATAATTGAAAAGTGCAAGAAAAAAAAGTGTATAGTTTTCTTGTTTTTATTTACAAATCTTAATTTCAGTTTGTTTCCAAGCAGCAAAGAGATGAAGTAGAAAAAAGAAACTACCGGTACCTCTGGGAGCCATAGCAACAGACAGCATGTCTACATCTCTGCACGTGATTGAGAATGCTGATATTAGCTCTTTATTCATGTTAAGTTCAGGTTATCAGCGTCTCTCTGATTTAAAACACACACCTCTTCCAAGCAGCTTTGAATGACACACTGGCCTAATTCCTTACATGTAGAGATGCAGCTCAGGATTAGCTGCTGAATCAATAAATGCTGTATAGGTGCTGGCTGCCAAAACTGAGCAAGCGAACCATCAATCAGTTGCAGCAATCCATCTGTTAACCTTCAGGATGGCTGTGTTACGTTCAACATTTAAAAAATGTTTGCGTTCTGTCATGCCAAAATGTTTTAGAGCATTAAACAAAGCTAACCCGCAGAAAGACTAAAATAATTGTTTAGATGACAGTTTCCACACCAACCAGGTGAAAAAGTAAATCCCCCAACTCTGCGTTAAATTTGATTAGCTACATTTTTTTAAACTCATTTTGACAAGCCAAATGCTGCCTGATTACTTATTGGACCTGAAGGCAACAATATGTCAAAAACCAACAGCGTACAAATGTACATTCAAGAACAAATGAGAAACATTGTTATCAGAACCAATCAGTCTGGAAAAGGTTTCAAAATCATTCCTAATACCTTAGGACTCCAGAGAACCACAGAAAGATCCAAAACACTGTAAACACTTTAACTTGAAAATGAAAGTTCACCTGCTTCCTTGAAAATGCAATTTAAGACAATCAGAAAATTGGGAACCACTGGTCCAAACATTTTTTTTAAGTTAATTAATCTTGAATTGTGTTTTAAATTAAAATTTCATTTTAAGCCAAATGATATTGGGTATTATTTCACCATATGCAAGAAGAAACTGACCTCGCCTAGTAAAAGAGCCACATTTCTCTGTTATTTTTACTCACATTATCAAAATAAAATGTTACTTATTTTACTTTAGAATACTTTGAATTCTTGATTCAAATTGCATGAACAAAATATCTGAGATGATAATAAATTTTATTAAACATCACAATGAATTCTGCTCAAAAACATTTAGTGTGAACAGGATATTAAAATAATAATTTACCTTAATGAAACACAAGAGTCAGATTAATGTAACACACTTCTAGAATGCCGCTAAGCATTCTGGGAAATCAGTCCCATCCCTGTCTTTTTCTTCTTTCAGTTTTTTAAAGTGCTCACCTAAAAACTCTAGTTTATTCAACTCTTTAAGGTTTAATAAAATGAATAAAAAGTTAACACAGCTTACTAATATGCGTTTATGTCTCACAAACTCATTCATTTAGGTTTAAAATCTAAAACTGGCTAAATTTATTTGACTTACAGAGTAGAAGATGTACATGCAAGAAAATGCGGCTCAAATATTTTTGAACAAATGGAGAAAACAAAAACTGCGTTTCCATTGCAAATGTGCTCAAAATAAATTGGTGTCATTTTCACCAAGCGTGGCGCAACCAGTTATCATAAAATGTTTTAAAGGTGAGTTTGCATAGCTGTTTTCCTTGTTTACTGAAATCATCACATAAAAACTATATATTTTTAATTTACCAAGGTTACCTTTCATGTTAAAATTTGTTTTGAATGCAAGTGTGATTTATTTAAAAAGCCAAATAAATCTGTAATATTGTTTCATACTGAATCTCGGTTTTCCCATGTTTTGTGAAGTTTCCATCTGACATACAGGTGATTTTTTTTGTTATTTTTTTGAGTGGATCTGTCTCGCTCTCTGATGCAGAGACCAGACAATGAGCCTCCCCCTCAAGGCCCCATTAAAGCAAAACCCAGGGTCTGCAGGTCTGATATTCATCGCCCCGGCAACCTCTGCCATCAACACATTTTGAGCCACGTGAGAATGATCACAGCTTATTAAAGTGGAAATAATGACTGCTCTGCCTCCGGCATGAAATATTTAACAAGGACAAAGGAGATGGCTCAAAGGTGATTCATATCTGTGTTGAAAGGAGGGCGTGCGGACAACGCCGTCCTGACAGGAAGTGCATGTGACCCTTTGCTAACCTGAGCTGAGGCGGCGCTCTCTGCAGCCGAATCTTTTGCCTAAGAGACGAATAAGGCGATTGTGATTTAATGTTTATTAGCCATAACAATGATATTGGCATTAAAACAAGCAACGCCAAGGACACCGCAGGCCCTTCTTCTCATCTCTTGACATTTACTGTGCACACAAAGCAGCCTTATAAATTCGGCTCTAAAATGTCTGCGTTTCGTTTGTAGCCATCATATCAGTTTAATAATTTCTCTTTCCACCCCGGCCCACAACCTACACAGCATCCAATTCCTGGATGTGAGATTATTGATGTGTCCGCCTTCCAACTTGGATAAATTAGCTCTTTTGGCCTCTTGGGAAAAGTCTGGGGGAAAAGGAGGAGAGCGAAAAATGTTCTCCATCAAGCACGATTGAATTGGATTTCACAAGATGAATTGCCTGGACAAGAGTTTATCCCAATTACATTGCCAAGAGGCTCCAGTCCTTCTGTGGCCACTTTGTTCAACAGCAATTAGGACCAGCTTTTAGTTACCAGGACCCTCCATTGTGAAAAGATGTTTACAATCCAAGCAGAAAGTAGATAAGTGCATCAGTCCAACGTTCTGAAGACGTTAAAAGTGGTTTGTGGTTTGAGCCAAGAACTCACAAAAATTACAGATTTGACAGCCAAAACACGAAGACCAACAGCTGTTACCCGAAGTCCACACGTTTTAATCTGCAGGAGCGCGACATCCAGAGACCGCCCCTGGCTGCTTGTGTGACCGCCCGCTTCCCTCTCTTACTTATTTTATTGTCTTTGATGAGAGCTGGATGATTTGCAGATGTGGAAACTCAGGTTGTCTTTCATCCATCATGAAGAGCACATTTACCTCAGGTCCAGTAGCAATAAGGCTCAGTTATGTTTCTCAGTCTTACCTTTCCCAAGCTGGGGCCCCACAGATACATCAGACTGAAGATGCAGACGGCCAGAACCAGAAACACCACAGCCAGCACCAGAGCCACCCAGTGGAAGTTGTGAAATCTGGTCTTCCTCTGTTTTTCTGCCTCCACCTGCAAACAGCAGCGGCTTGCAAATTGTTTATACGACCACAATGTTTCAAAACATTTGAAATAATCAAAACGATTATGTATTTAAAGGGGAACTATTATTCAAAACTCATATGTTGTACATTTTTATTTTATACTTCCATTTGGGTCTCAACTGCTCATAAAAAACAACTCAACCGCTTAAAAACAAACGAGCCGTTTCAAAAACCTACCGATTTTTAAGTCACATTCAATGGCCACTGTGCCGTTACCTAGCAAACCCTGACGAGCCCAGCCTGTCACCAAGCAACCCAAGTGGAGCTCCAGAACATTTAGTCAGCTGGTTTAACTGCTGTATGTGCTGTACAATGGCTGCTGGAAAAGATCAGTGTTTTGTTGTTGACTTACCACCCAGAAACCCCTTGCTGCATTGTTGTTGGTTGTGCAGGAGGCACTACTTATGCTTTTGAAAGATCTAATTAGATTTTGGCGGTGTGAACAGGTGCTAATAAATGTTGGTATCGTATTTACCAGACTATAGAGCTCACAATAAGCCACAACTACAAAGTTTTAAAATAAACTGGAAACATATATAAGCCGCACCGGGCAATAAGCCGCTGGTATCTCCACTGCTCTCGGTTTTCCATAAGGACGCAGCAGAAGGAAGATTCTTCTTTGATTTATAATTTTGACTTCCAGTGATTCACTTCTTGCTAAAGCACTCCCTGGTGGTTGAAGAAAAATCCACAGAAAAGCAGCACCAGGCTATTAGCCGTTGGAAAAAAAGTAGCGGCTTATAGTCCGGAAAATACGATAAATAAAATCAGCATGTCTGCAAACCAGCACCTGGAACCAAGCAGATCCTGTGTTTGAAGGATGCGTGTCGGGTTGTAGCCCGTAGCCCTGCACTCTCTAAGCATCATGAATGCCTCTAAGGCTGAGAGCTGTGGTTGGTTTTGTGTTGTCTGGCTGAAGGACTTCCCTGCAGGACACAAACTGCCCTTAGCAAACTTTACAGTCTTTCTCCGCCTGTAATCTTGCATTGCCTTTCTGTGCAGAGTTTTTGTGATTGAGATAAAAATTCCTGGCTTGATAGGGGATAACAATACTGTCCCCAGTTTATCTTATTGTTTCTATTTAGGGTTGCGTTTAATTTTAAACATATTATTATTTTTTTTTATCATGCATGTGGTCCCTATAATTTGTCATTTTATATGTCAAACCTTCACTTTAACTCAGTTTTGTGTCAGAATTGAAAAGCTCCACCTCCATCCCCCCCTTTTTTTGTTTTTACTTCCTATTATTGTGACAAAAGCAGCAAGAAATTAAGCTTTTGTGTATTTGTTGAAGCATTGCCCTAACCAGATTGTTCCAGCTGAAACCTAAAAATAACCTAAATATTACTCTGTCTTCAGTCTGTGAAAACATATTGCAAGATCTTATTTCACACGGACACCTCTGCATTTCATTTGTAGGTCCTGCATGTGGGCCACTCAAAAAAAAAAAAATGCAATGGCTCAGATAGAAAAAATAATACAAATCTACTCGTGTCAAAGAAAGGTTACATTTATTAAACTTCCTTTCGGATTAAAACTCTGCCCGCTGCCAACTATTCCCCAAGCTTAGGGTCACAAATTAATAAAGACAGTCTTTTGTTCCAGAGGAGCTCCAGCGGGGAGAAAATGAAAACTTCTCATTCACAGTGGACCGCATGTGAAGGTCTCAGAGGACAACGGAAAAGTAGATACGCAAAAAAGAGGGGCCGAGTTCAATTAGCAAAATTGCTGTTGCTTATCTTTGTGTCTTTTAAAGTGATGATAAAGCAGCTTTGGATATTTTTTTTTTTTATTGTGGCTGAGCTTGTTACAGTTGTTAAGCATGTTGTAGATTGGCCAGCACATTTACATACTCATGTTTTAATATAATGCAGTGCTTTAAAAATTTATGTTGCTTTAGCTTCTCACAGTTTGTCACTTCACCACCACAGACATATTCTATTGGGGTTTGAAGCAATAGCCCACAAAAATAAAAATTAAAAAGAATTGAAGCTCAGATCACATCAATGTTTGCGTCATGTTTTTAAGAGGATGTAAGTCAGGGCTTTGACTGAGCCAATCTGGGATGGCTGGAAGGTGAACACAGTGCTTTACATGGAAGAGGTTGTTTCAGAACCTCTTGTCATTTTAAATCCAAATTAACCACTGATGGCCACACTCAGCATTTACACTCGCATGTAAAAACAGGTGCACAAACATACATCTTTGAAAAGCAGAAGTAGAGCCTCCTGCACAACCAGAAAGAAAGCAGCAAGAGGTTTTCTTTCTTTCTCAAAAACAAAACACAACCTTATACAGTGCATAATATGGTAAAACCAGCTGATTAAACGTCCTGCAACTCTGCTTGCGTTGCTAGGTTACAGGCTGTACTTCATTGGGGTTGCTAGGTAACAGCAGGGGGAGGGCCAGAGCCTGCTGATTTGTGGCGATACTTTCTGAAGGTTTTGGAAATGGCTCATTTTCCAGACACCAAAAAATATTAACTTGTTGCCAAAAACCAAATAAGTGTTGTTTTTTTCAGCATTTAAGCTGTTTTTAGAAACTCAACCAGAAGTACAAAACATACAAATGGCTTAAAACGAACAATAAAATATATCGAGGTTTTTGGCTGCAACGTCACAAAATCTGAAAATGTCTAAATGAGTGGTTATGCAATCCATCATTTAAAATTCAGATGTGAGGTGGAGTGGCGATTTTCCACATGTGAAGGACAGAGATTACATTACAGAGGGCAGACTGAAAATGTCAAACTACTGTTTTTCCATTTGATGAAACCAAGCTGGACAATTCCTCATTGGACGTATTTAAGTCAGCAGCCAGAAATGTGAGGCACATCAAAGTATAATTAATCCTGAGGGAATAATAAAAAACAGACATCTGCGGTGAAAGCCAGAAATTCCATACTCTGAATTTCTCAGTGAGCAAAGAGGAAGAACAAAAAAATAAATAAAAATAAATAAAAAGCAGTGGATGAAATTCAGTCTCATGTGGCAGGTTGCATAAGCAGTGGAAACTTAACTGGAGGACAAACCTCTTGCTGGCTGCTCTTTGAATATCAAATGCTCAGAGGGAAAACGGTGGGATTGAAAGACAGACGGTTGATCGGACAGAAATAAAGACAGGGATGGAGCAGTCTGAGTGCACAGCGCCCGCCAACTAGTGTTTAAAGGTTTAGGAGTTCAGAATCAGCCAGGCAATTCTTCCTGAGCTCTGGGAGGAAAAGTGCCCAGAGCCCTCCTGTTGTTATCAAGCCAAGAAAGAGCACTTTCTTAAGAAAACAACAGAAAAAACCCCACTCGCCTACGTAGCCAGCAAGCTGAGGCTGTGGTTCACCCCACCAGGCCAGGCTCATTTCCACATTTAAATTCCTGTGGAAGCTAAAACAGGCCACAGGTGACTTCTTATTTATAACCCTTCTTGCATTTGTACTCGCAGTATTGGTGACCTTATCTTAAAGCCACAATAAAACAATTAACTTTTTTATTCACCTATATGTAGCAATAATATTGTGCTGATACCTGTTGCTGTGTTCATAGCAGGAAAGAGAGAAAAGAAAATTCCCTTTGAGCTTTCATTTCAAGAAGCAAGAACACCATGAAGACCTTAAAACGGTCGGGATTAAACAACAAAAGAGTGGAGATGAAGGTAAAAAACCCTCCAGGATTTACCAGCACCACGTATAATTCTGGGGGAAAAACTCAATGGATATTCTGAAAGAAATAAAGTCACCAAAAACCAGACTACTGAAATATTTAAATTGAATCTTACACTCCAGTTTCACTATTTTCTCCTTCTCTAATTTTCAAGGAACTTCTTCTGCCACCTGCCACTGCTTTAACGAGCTTAAATATTTCAAAGCTCATTAACTAAGATTCAATAAAATATACATATAAAATATCCTTTTAAGTTCTCCTTGCAGCTGATTAATCGGCTGCAGTCAAACAAATGGAAAATGAGAAAAATGTACTCACATCTTTCCACAGAAGTTGCTGACTGCTGGATTGACTGCGAGCCTCCATGATGCAAGCCCACAGGAGGAAACTTTCCGATCCTCTTAGCTGCGGAAAATACCAACGCAATGCACGGCAAAGAGTCCAAGCTTCATTCCTCTGCTGTAATTTGGGAGAGCGCTGAAAAGGGAGGAGAGTTTGGGATGGAGTGGAATAACTGTAGGAGTCGCGATACCCATTAAGGCAAAGCAGATGTCCCTCCTGCCGGCCTGCTCCCGTTTTAAAAGGTGGTAAAAACGTTTCAGGCTGAAAAAGTAACCCTCTGTTGAATAAATTACAAACTGTAGTTGGATAATAATACTACAGTGGATCACCAGCATCCTGATGTCCTGGAAAACACAATGATTGGGCAGAAAATAATAACAGTGGTTCTCCAAAGTGTACAAAGAGCCTGATTGCTGTTGTAGAAAAAGGAGACCATGATAAGTCATTTTTCTATTTAGTTTCACCTCTAAACTTTTTCACCTCTAATCTTTGACTCTCCAATAAGGAGAGTCAAAGCTCCACGATTATCTTGTGTTAGAGGTAAACATTTAAAGAATAGAGTGTGACTTGAACCACCTTTTGACTCCCTTTCAATATTCAGTGTCCAATTACTGAATTTCCTATTCACCCAAAATAAACTTCTGCTGTCTATAACTTCTTGGTACCACAACTAATTGGACCTTAAACGACAATCCAAGGAGGAACTTTAACAAGTTTTATTGATTATCACAGAGAGTATCTTCTTAAAACAACCAGAGGATTCTCAGCCTAGGAGAGAGAGAAAGTTTTGGTTTCAGAAGGACTTAAATGAAGAAGGCGTTACCTGCTTGAGGTGCACTGAAGAACATCAAGTGTCAGACAGGATGGAGAAAAAGTTTCAAAGCCTGTACCTTGGTCATCCATCTACTATTTACCGTTAGCCGATTGCCCTTAGCCATTTACAGTTAACAGTTAGCCGATTACCCTTAGCCATTTACCGTTAACAGTTAGCCGATTACCCTTAGCCATTTACCGTTAACAGTTAGCCGATTACCCTTAGCCATTTACCGTTAACAGTTAGCCGATTACCCTTAGCCATTTACCGTTAGCCGATCACCCTTAGCCATTTACCGTTAACCGTTAGCCGATTACCTTTAGCCGTTTACCGTTAGCCGATTACCTTTAGCCATTAACCATTAGCCGATTACCTTTAGCCGTTTACCATTAACCATTAGCCGATTACCCTTAGCCGTTAACCGTTAGCCGATTACCTTTAGCCGTAGGGCTTTCTGATAGAAGTCTTATTGTGTTTAATTAGGAAAAAAAATCAGCAACCAAGATCAAAATCCTCTACACCATGTTACCGCAGCCTTTCTAAATTTTCACATTCTTCCCACTGACAAGAATCTTTATTTTTGTGAACTATTTTCCAGGTTAAATGTCATATTTAAGGTGGAATCAGTTTTAGGATAATTTGATGTGGTAACATATTTTTATTTTGCAGAAGTTGGCATTTTAACACACTTTTATTACACTTTTTTTTTTTATCTTGGAGAGCTTAAATAACTTCTGGCTTTTTTCTTCTCAGTTAAACCTCTGTGGTTGAGTAAACAAAAACAGAACTCTAGTAGAAAGGATCTAACTATGTAGCAACAAAGAATTTGAATGAAAGGATTAAGATTATAGGTCAGCTTCAGTGAAGCTTTTATGACACAATAGAGAAAGAAAACTCCCCCACAAAAACCTGTATCTGTAAAAATGTAATAATAAAAAAATGGTTCATTTCAAAAACGAAGCGTACGATCCTCATTCTTGGTGAGTGCACACTCACTTTCCCAAATTCCATATTGCAAGTCGGCCTGCGACGGTTCTCCTTGTGATGTGATAAAATTAAACCACTCATGCAAGTCTTAACTCAAGGGCTGCACGTACATCAGGCGCATGAACTGTAAACTGGTTTTAAAGGTTCGCACCGGAGCGGGATGAATAACACATGCAGCAACTGGAGCTAGTCAAACTTTAACAACCTCAGACCTGTGCAGCGCTCAGATACCAATCTGCCGGCCTGGAGTTACTTTCTCTCAAGCTGCAAATGGAAATATGAGACTTTGTCACGTTATCATTTAGAATTAGAATATTTAGAGTGGGTGAATTACCATGCCAATGGAAAGATGCAGAGTTGGTACTCTTCCAGGACTCAAAAACTATTTAATTTATTTTACAGATAAACCTAAAATATACAGAGAAATTCCTTAAAACTGTTAATAATTCTGAAAATAATTTAAATAATGAACGACAACAGAAGAAAACGTATGTTTTAGTAATTGGATGAATCTATATTGGATTCTCCGACAGCTTAAACTCACTGAGTCCTGGATTTTAATAATCCAGAACAATAATCTTCATCCATCCGGATCAACCATTCCCATATAACAGCTGACAGATCAGCTTTTCTCATAACTTTCAGTTGACTTCAGATTCAGACTGTTTACTGATCATGTTTTCTGTCCTTAGGGATAAGATGATCAATCATCCTAAAAAATGCAGTCACTAAATATACTTTTGCTGCTGTGAGATCAGTGCTCACAGATATTTAATACTGTAGTTTGACTTGAAGTTTTAATTTGCAGTATTTTTTTTGAAGACTAAAAATTGGAAATCAATTCTTATTTGTTATATTTGGTTTAAGGACCTTATGAATTTGTGGACAGGGTCATAGTTTCTGCTAATTTCTCCTTAATTAGCTTTGCCTTTAGCTGTAATTCAGTGAACATTTCTTTACACATACCATAAAAGACAACTCAAGATCTGTCAGAGGTACTTGCACCACAATTTGAAAACCATGATTAGGTATTTAGTTTTCAATTATTGTTTATAGTTGACTTTTCTATGCAGAAATTTAATTTCCTTCCATTGAACTATGAAGATTGGCAAAACTGACAACTTTTTCTGTCCATTTGTCCTCAATTTCTATAAGTCAAATTTGAACATTTAAGTTTAGCTTTTAGATATTGATTTAAAATTTAGATTTGGCATTTAGAATTAATATTTAGATTGGGATGTAATATTTAGATTTGCTAGAATTTGGGGGAATGTAAACATGATGATGAATATCTAGGCTGGAGTATTAGGTCCATTATAGATGAAAGAAAAAAAATTAGTACATTTCCTAAGAAAACACAGAAAATTTCTTGAACAAAACAATAAAATTTCTGTTTATAGAAAGTTGAAAAAAAACTCAGAAGTTTTTAGATTAATATCAAAATCTTTCTAGGAAAAACAAGAAACGCTCTGAGTTTGCCCCCCCAAAAGAACCTCTAATTTAAAAAAAATTCTAGAGAAAACATGGAAATTTCTGGTTTTCAAAACTAGATTTCTAACTTTTTTCCCAAAACTTAATTTGTTTCCCCTTCTTTCTAACTACAGTAGCCCTCATTTACTGTCGTATATATGACAGTTTTTTAAACATCTCCATTTTAAATATGATAAAAATGCATTAAAATTTTCCACTTGACAGCTGAACGACACATCAGCATCAACGTTTTCTCAGCGCTCTGCCTGCTCCTTTGTTAAAACTTGCACAATGAACAATTAATTTCATCCGAGGGAAGGAAAGATCTGAATCAAAGAATAGCTTGTGTAAGGGTTGCCTGTTTGCACAAACCACCTGCCAGCTGACGTAAATGTTATCTGAAACGGCACACAAAGCAAAAGCTCAACTGTTTGATGAAAGCTCTGTGAAGTAATTCCAGCTTATTAAAAACACAATTTCACAACCTAAAGGTTCCACTTCACACTTGATTTGCCCGAGTGAAAACCACCAGCTCGGTCAATATCAGCTGAGGTGGAGCATTCCAGGTAAAATTGGTCAACCTGCAAGCCTTTAGTGTGGCAGGCAACATTTGAGCACATATTAGGTCTGTCAGATCTGATAGCCGCGGGTCCTCGTCAGCTCTTTCCCATTGATATAAATCTTCACAATTACCGTGACATTTTGCTCGAGCAAATCAAGTGGTGGGTCTTTCAGGAATAGTTGTTGTGTCAGCAGCCAGTGTGGAAAGCATCCTGGGACCCTCGTTCCCCGATAGCATTCAGCGGCAGCCGTCGGCTTTCACATCCACAGAATAGAATAAACAGCAATTTAGTCTGGAGTGTATAGCAGATAGTCGCAGATTAGAGCGGGGCTTGATAGAGGCCGCCTTGGCAAAGCAGAAAGAATCACAAAATATTTACTCTCTCCTTGTCATGCCTCGGCCCCGATAGCTTCGAAAGGAATTTTTCTCTTTTGTATTTGTCACTTTTGCAAACACACAGCGCTGCGACCAACAGCGGCGAGGCCCATTACAAATCCAACAGACCAAGCTGGAATCTGGGGCTTTGTTTTTCTTTTTTTTTTAAATAAATAAATAGACTGTTTTCCGGCAGATAACAGTAATTCTGCTCGAAATGACTTGTGGTACTTCAGGCAGGCGCAGCCTCTGGTATATTTCGCTCTGTTTTTCCATGGCCAGCTGTAAAAAAGATGATCCTTGTTTGCTGCTTCTTTTCTTTTTTTTTTAAATAAATTTCTCAGCCAGCCTCTAAAACCTTGTTGAGCTTCTGTCACTCAGAGAGGGAGAGAATAAGCAACACATTCCCCACATCCACAATGACATTCATTAACAGCATCTTTTCATGCGAAGGGAGGCCATCACTGGTAAAAATGTGCATGAAAGTCTCCATAAAAGAAGTGCTTCGTTTTTGTTCGATAACTAAAGAACATTTAGTTTACCTTTTCCACCTCGAGGTTGAATTCACAGGGGACAAACGTGACATTTAATCCTGATTTTATCTGATTGTCAGCCTCCGTCTTCTCTGCAGCTGCAGCATTTTGTGTTTTATGGAAAAGGAGAGCCAGGTCGCACTGGACTCCTGACGAAAAGCCAGGACGGGATCCTGACTGGGTCTGGAGAGGGGAAAGAAGAAAAAAGAAATCCTAGCACTTCCATCCATCATCTTTCAGCATTCTCCTCATGCTTCAGTGGCTGTGGGAAGAAAGTGTACCTCTGCACAGGAAGTTGGTGTTTCCCAGGAGTGGCTTGGATCTTCAGCAGACTGTAGCAAAGGTCTGACACATTGTGCTGATATACTCCTGCAGATTCCTGAGTGCAAAACTCTCAGTAAGGCACAGCAGAGCAGGAGCAATAAAATTTCACCGACACTCAGATTACGCTCTTTTCCAAATACATTTTCAACCCTCCAGTGTGGTATTCATCGAGTTCATCAAAATTAAACCAGTGGAGAGCTGCCAGTGGTTCATCAATGCAGTGGAAAATGCATTTTGTTGGATAATTACAATTAGAACCCAAGTGGGAGAAAATCTTTTTTTATTTGTTGTTTTCATGATCTACTGATGCTACAGCCACTGCATAAATTGCCCACTAAATCATATCTCAGGTAGACCTGTCATAATAAACAATAAATCAATTAATCACATGATAAATTAAAAGAAACTAAATTATTTTCATTTGCTAGATTTATTATTTTTCTCTTTTCTTTCTCCTTTTACCAAAAACTGGATTTTTTTTTTTACAGATAATTTGGTTTACAGAGGCTTCACAATTCCTTTTATTTGTTGTTTCTGTTGTTTTCTTTATTTATCTTAGATATTTCAGTTTGTTGATCTTTGAGAATGTGTTCATGCATTATTGTGCCATTATTGCACAATAATACTTGAAAATGATCTCAATATTATTGTTTATTGCAATAACTTCTGGGAGAATTTATCCTTCAGAAAAATGTGTTATCGTGACAGGCCTGATCTCAGGTTTCAAATTCTTTGAATATTTGCCCTGGAATTTTTTTATTTTGTCCTAAAGTTTTGTTTTTACAATTTCTACAAGTGAAATTTAATAATAATAAAAAAAAAGTTTAATCTTTCAATAAGGACATTTCAAACTTAAGGAAGTAGTTAGAGTGATTATTGAAAAGCTCTTAAAAATCTAGTATCTTGTTGTTCAAAAAAAGAAAATCCACATCTAACTTGTATTCAAAGAAAAACATTTTAAAATGTTTTTCGAGAACTTTGGGGCAGCTTTTTGTTCCGAATGGAGTTTTCTCTCTACTGAAACACTAAATTATATTTTGTTTTTATGCCTCATCTTTTTATTTCGTTGCATAAACATGTAATTGGCCACGGCTCAGTACATTTGGACACAAAAGTCAACATGCATGTTGGTCTGCTGAGGATCTTTGCGCAGGGAGACGTTTGCAGAGGTTAATGCTAACTTGCTTTCTCTCTTTCTTAATATGATTTGTTGGTAATTT